AGGGTTAGGGTTGGTCTCTGGGTGAAGGGTAGGGTGCACCCTGAACAGTACGTTACAGTGCTAGCACACAAAGAACCAAACGCACCTTCAGACACCAGAGGAGTCCATCACCAGAAGATGTTTATAAAGTTATTCTGTGTTCGCTTCACTAAATGTCGTTTTCCGTGGTTTGGTACATTTTGTCAGCCTCCAGCCCAAACCTGCATTCTCTTTGCTCAGCTGTGAGTCGTGGTGACGTGAAGATGTTGAGACTGAAACGACGGAGGTTTGTCTGTTAGAAACTATTCATTTCCACAGAATCTTCTGAATTTCAATCAACATGTCTTTTCTCAGGTTTACCAAAACTCCCTCAGCAGGAGCAGAAGCACAGCGTCACTGTGTTTTAGTCTGGAGGTGAAATGGAGAACTGAAACTTGCCAGCAGCTCCACCCGGAGGAACCACTGAGCTCTGTAGAGCCACCAGCACACACACAAACAGCAGAACCAAAACCACTCCACTGCCTTCTGAGCACATCCAAAAATACAAATTAAAGGTGTTTGCTATTTTAGTCAGTGTGCGTAGGAACCCAGCTCTGGGCCTCATTAGCTAAACAGTACTTTTATGCATGCAGAGTACGCTGGCTGGATTGGGAACAGATAGAGGAGAGCGTTCACCAGTTTAGAGCACAACGGAGTGGAAGATGATGGAGGAAGCTGTCAGGGCGGGCACAGCTGAATGAACAGCTGTCAGAGACATTATCCAGCTCACTGTGGCTTTTTCACAGCTCCGTGATAGTCAGCATCCTCCTGCAGCCGCTGAATCACACACTCAGCTTCCTGTGTGCGTCTCAGTTCTGTCCTGACATCCTGAAGCAGCATTTGATGTGAAATGAGCCATACTTCAATCAGAAAACACAACAAGCCATACAAATGAACTACCGTGAAACTACGTGATGTTTTCTGTCATCTTATACATACATGCCAGCATATGACTAGAATAGAATAGAATAGACTTTATTTATCCCAGACCTGGGAAATAATTGAATCTGTAAACACCAGCTACCTGACAGACGTATGACCGTAACCAGGTCTGCACCAGATGTGAGTGACCTTCTGTCCAAGATCACTGTGATGTCCAGCGATTCAACATGTTTCACTTGACAGCAGCTGCTTTGATATAATTCATAAACTAACCGTCAGATTGACTGAATTCTTCTCCCACAGTGCAACAGACGTCGCGACGCCTTTCATAACTGAGGTCCTGATCTTTTAGCTTGTTCTCCGCGTGTCATGGACGATCCTACACGTCTTCAGCGATGCTCTGTTGTTCTTTGCTGTAGGGGTTGTGTTGCTCTTTCTCTGTAGAAGCATTTTCTTTTAGAGTCGAGTCAGGCGACGTACCTGGCCAGGTGGTCATTTTTACTTTTAGCTGTGCTTTGGCTGGTCATCATGCTGGAATATTCCTCTTCTGCCAAACTCCTGCAGACTGGGAGTCGTCCTGTCAGACAGCATTTTGGTACATGGGCAGGAATCTTACTGACTGACTTACTTACCTCTTACCTCTTGCTCTTTGTTCTTGGACACCATCCACCATGTTGGGATGCTGTGGTGTCCCCGGCGCTTCCTAAGCTGTCACAGAACCTCGGATTTCCTTTGCTAACTTGTCCCATCCTGAATGACAGATTAAACATATAAGTGAGAGGATCGATGATGCCTTCTGTTGTGATCTTTACCAAATACATCTGCATCTGTGGAGAATTAGTTTTTAAAGGATTTTTACCATCTTTATAACATCATTTGTAGTTTCTGTACCCAAGAAGACACTCAGTCTGTGACAACATCAGCATCCAGCTGGTTTCTGTTTCACTTCCCTCCACTATTGGATTTTTATCACATACTTCTCTGTTGTTGATGATGAAGTGTCCTGGGTGGTTCTGTCTAGTATTTCCAGTTTCAATCATCAAATTTAACACAGTCCATATCCCTTTTGATTTTCATCTATGATCGTCCCATAATAGTTCTTTCTACGAGTCCTTATCATGTCAATCAGTTTGTTTTTTTGTGCTTTATATTTATGTTCACTATCTTCTGTTCTGTGCTGAACAAAGTGCCTGTATGGTGTATTCTTTTTCCTTTTTCTCATCCATGGCCTTTCTGAACATTTATGTCTTTATTTTATTATAGGACGGTGTTTGTCATACAAGGTTTTTATAAATCTCTAAAAGTGAATGATCAGCTCTATCAATGCAGGCATTCACATCTTCATCCCTTCTTTTTCTTTTAAACACTACCTGTGAGGTCTTCCTTTCTTTCTTAATGTGTAGATGATCTGTGATGTGTTATCAATAATCTGTTATCTATATTATTAGTGAATATATGATCAGTGAGAGAGGCTCTACCTGCTGTTCTTCTGCTACCATACCATACTGCTCATTAGCTCAACACACTCATCTGTTTTCTTCTGCTTCTTTATGTTTAGTAAATCTATATTTAAATCTCCACACACATCATTTATCTTAGTTTTGTTGTGCTTAATATTTCCTCCACGGCTACAATAACGGTATCTACGTTACTTCCTGGTTTCACAGTTCACTACATGTCTTCCTCCTTGTAGACTCACTTCTACAGTTATGGATTCCATGAGCTCATCAGTAGCGAAGGACGAACTATGAAGTATTTTCATTGTATTTGACCTTTATTTTACCAGGTAGAAACGTTTGAGAACCAGTTCTCATTAGCAAACATGAGCTGGCCGAGAGGCGCCAGCAGGAACAAACACACATGGAGGCTACAGACACATGAACATAACATAGAACAAAAGTAATCAGGTAGGAAGCACGGGGGCATGTGCACGAGAGGTAGAAACGGTGTGCATGAGGCATCAGGATCAATATCCTGCTCAGAATCTGCCATGTCAGTCATCCATCCATCATCTCTACACCTTAACCCTCACTAAGGTCATGGGGGGCGGAGCCTATCCCAGCTGACTCAGGGTGAAGGCAGGTTCACCTGGACAGGTAACCAGTCTATCACAGGGCTACACTTAGAGACAGACAACCAAGCACACTCACATTCACACCTACGGACAATTTACAATCACCAATTAACCTCAGCATGTTTCTGGACTGTGGGAGGAAGCCGGAGAACCCGGAGAGAACCCACGCTGCACGGGGAGAACATGGAGACTCCACGCAGGAAGATCCCGGGTGTCCTCACCGGGACGCCAACCGGCGACCTTCTAGCTGTGAGGCGCTAACGGTGCTAACCACTGAGACACCTGCAGCTCCATGTTAGTCATATGTCTGTAATATATAATTATACTTTTAAACGTATACATACATATTTGTCCTGTTCGGCGTTCTGGATGCGTAATGCTTGGACCTCCTGGACCAGCTCCAGGATGCTGTTCTGCTGCAGCCTAACAGCAGAGACCTCCGCTGATAGAAGGCTGCTGCCTTCCTTGGACCCGTGTCGTCCACACAGCTGAGCAGGTGACCACATGAACAGCGTGAGCTCGCACCCTTCACCTGTTAGAGGCAGGATTTTAATTCTATCCTGGACTTTACAGGGAGCCAATGAAGATGATACAGGAGAAATATGATCTGGTATTGGTTCCTGTCAGAACCCTGCTGCAGCATATTGGATCAGCTGGAGGTTTCAGAGAGAGTTACTGGGACATCCTGATAGTAAGGAACTACAATAGTGTAGTCTAGAAGTTCTGAATGATGGACTGGTTTCTCAGCATCACTCTGAGACAGGATGCTCCTGATGTTTACAGTATTATGTAGATGACAGAAGGCCGTCCTACAGACTGGTTCTATATGTCTACTGAAGGACATGTCCTGGTCAGAGATACCTCCAAGGTTCTGTACAGGAGAACTGGAGGCCAAGGCGATGCCCTCTAGAGCAGCTATCTGGTTCCAGAGTGTGTTTCTGAGGTGTTTAGGGCCAAATACAAGAACCTCAGTTTGTCTGGATTTAAATGAAGTAAATTCCAGGTCATCCAGACCTTTATGTCCTTCAGACATGTTGGAGTCTGACCAGCTGATAGGTTTCATTTGGCTTCATAGATAAATATAACTGGGTGTCGTCTGCATAACAGTGGAAATGTCTGCAGTGCTCCCTGATAATACTGCCTAAAGGGAGCATGTACAAGGTCCTAACACAGAGCCCTGTGGAACTCCATCACTACCTCTACTGCAGGTGGAAGAACCATCATTAACATGAACAAACTGGAATCTGTCTGATAAATATGATGTAAACCAGTTCAGTGCAGTTCCTTTAAG